TTTCATCAACGGAGCCGGCCCACACTCCTTCACAGGCAAACACAAGCACGCTGTATTTGGGGAATCAAGCGCACACAAGGCGGTGGCTGGACCGTAGTCCGCTCCACACTGAGTGCATGGAACCGCTCTTTGAGCCTAGCACGGCCACAAGAACCGTGCACCCCGTCCCCTCCAGCAATGACCAACTGTCTCCTGGAGCCAATATGGACGGGGTAGTGGGTAATAGACAGGTAGGCACCTTGTCAACATACACATCAAGCGCAACCATACCAGGGATATCAAACAACAGCCATTCACTTTAAACGACAAGCTGAAATAAAATAAACCCAATAATGCATACAGATACGGTGGCATAAATTTTCGCTAAATTACCATTTGAAGTAATTTGGTTAGCAACAAATCCGTGATAAGTAAGAAATGTCCACAAGTTACTTAAAATGCTACAAACGCAACAAAATTACCGAAGATAAGCGCAATTAGTGTAAGCAACGAGGCCAGTTAATAGAACATTATTCATGGAGGCGGAACAAACCAAATAAAGCGGAATGAAATTTATCCAGCTTAAAAAGACCTAGTTTAAGTGTAAGTTGGTTTAGCCCAAGTGCGATGAAGAAGCATCAAGAATGCAACATCAGCCTCAGCATGGGGCACAATATATATATATATATATATATATATATATATATATATATATATATATATATATATATATATATATATATATATATATATATATATATATATATATATATATATATATATACCACCTTATCGGCGCCATCTGCCCAGGCACTTGATACCCGTTGTTTGTCTACCCTCATATGATTAACTACGCAACGCTCACTGTTTTCATAGCAAATCACACCATGGGTATGGAAATTTAGTTGTTCATTGTTTTCTCAAGCCATGTCTGAGTGGTTCCATTCCAAACCCCGCTGTGAAGATACCATAGTGCCCAGGTGTCCCACGACATACTCATTTGAGATATTAGATAATTAAATGTTGGGCAAGGTACTCCTTGTAAATTTGCTAAAACAGTTTGCACACTCTTTTGAAAGCCGATGATAGAACAGGGAGCAGCGGAATTTACTACGTGTGTTGGTGATATGATAGCGTCAAGGGGGCCATCAGGAAATGTATGATATTATCGTCTACTAACGCTTATAGCAAGACAGCATGTACAATACACAGGAACCATAAGTCATCTGTGTTTTACGGTACATTTAGTTGTGCATCATTCTACCTGGTAACCATACTCACGACATTTGCTTCCGTATTTCCATATCTGTTTCAATCTATTGTTGATGCCCACACTTCTGACTAAACTTAAGGCTGTCGTTTTGGTTCTCATCCAAACGCTAACTAACCACTGACAGTCGCATTGGTTACTTATAATTCTACGTGCGATTTTCTAAAACTAGAGAAATATGGCTGTTATTCTTTCATCCAATCCAAACTCATGCACGTACGTAGTGTTATGGTTCATGAGGGTTATTATTTCTTCATCTAGTTTGTGGTAGTCCATACACAAGTGTGAACAAATACCCGTTCGCAACACTGCAGTATTATAATTCGAACCAGGGACCTTTGGTATGTCAACTGATATCTCACGTTGAATGACTAAGTGGAAGCCAGTTAGAAACACTTATAAGCACCACACTTCAGCCTGACAGACTGATGGCATTTTCACTCGCGTAACACCATTATCTGCTGGCTCGATGGGACTCGCCTAAAGTACAAATCCCGCTAACATCTGTTCGTGTCTCCATACATTCCCACTTGACTGATGGATCTTATTACATTTCTTCTCGTGTGACACCGTGACTTATTAGGGGTTGCAATATGAGGTTGGTGTATCCCATCTCAAGTGTCGCTATACGCCCCCTTGTACTGCTGCCGCCTTCAGGTAAACGCACTGAGATTCAGACAAGTCATCAAGCTTGATTCCCGGAGCAGCGGCAATACGTTGTGACATCCGAATCGAAATGCTTGGACATAGATAGTATTCTGGACACTGATGAAGTGGTCGCGATATGTTAGCGGTCCGAACGAATGACCAAGGGGAAATAAATAGCAACACATCACGGACTGCTTGGTGGTTCTACCTCCCTGTTGATTCTCGCTCATCTCGGACAACAGACGATTATAACCGGCTCTGGTTTTACCTTACGACACGGATAGCCTGCAGTGGGCATAATCACACCATTTCCCTGATAACTTTGAAAGTTGCTTACGCCATCTCCGTCATTCTTTTTTGGTGTCATATTTATTCTATATACCGCATGTAAGTCGCGCTTGGGTGCAGTTTCATTCTAGAATGATTAACTACTGACTTGGTGCAATGTGGTATCTTTATTGCACCTGCCTAGAACGGATGATCCACAGGTAACCTAACTTTTTAGGCTTATTTAACTCGGTTGTATTTCGCGATGACTTCACATGTGTTGCCCATTACGATATTGTACTCATCATGATCTATGCTATGCTATTCTTGCTACCTCCTCAAGCGGTGTCTAGTATGGTTACATACCGAGAGTGAGCTATGGCATCTTCCTCTTCGTATTATTATTCGGCCGCGATTCACATCACTATGTAAGCTCCATGGTATTACTCACCATAACCGTAGCTTGACCAGGTGCTCAATGCCAACTTGCGTGACGCTTAGAGAGCCGGTGCATCGCAGAATAATGGTTCAATCCATCCATGAGCTCATTCGTAATTGATGTGCGCGCGGTGTTTCCGAGCGATTTGTGTGCTTGCTACGGATCAATGCTAGGGTGGCAAATTATTGTGTATGTTTCCAGTTCGATGGATACGTTTGAAACAAAAGGTTATTATCGCTTGGCCGTTTGCAGTACGCATGAAATGTCACATTTGACATTTGTTACACAATGCTCAACGATTGTTCCTCGTGTGACCACATTGGATTATGCATACGAAGAGAAATTTCCCTGGAAATTCTGTGTCAAGTGAGCAATCCCGACAATTAACCGACTAGCGATTATCACGATGTCGCCATTTCATGTTCCACTCCGCAGGCTAGTGATGAGAATGAGTATAGTTATAGTTCCAGTTATCCCTCAGCCATACTGAATTTACCGGGGCTTATGAAAACACACGTACTAACCGGATGGAAGGCAGACGTGCAGAGACGACTACCAGAAGTTGCATTGCACATGGCCAATCTTTTGGATGGATTAAGTAAAAGGTTGCATCTAACGGGAATGGTACGTCAGTGTGTTATTATATAACATCGGAAATGAATCGGCGCATAGCGACAATGGTTTTATGAGCACCGAATGACTGCACCCGAAACCTACGATATAGACCGTTAGCAAATAGCTTATGGCCGCAGTAGAGTACAGGTCGGTAGGTATAAATGGTTGAGTACTTGAACATTCGCACAATAAATGCGAACACTGTTTGGAAAGTTGCATGTTTGACAGTGGGTAGCGGGACTTAGTTGATGTCACCTGTCAATACCAAAGGTTGCGCATCAATCGTTCTTTGAGTAGGTGCACATACCTCGGGCAGCACATTACCGAAACGGTCGGAGACACAGAGAGCCAGAAGTGGACACTGTATCGCATTCGCATGCTGTGTGATCTCCCCCATCAGCTACTCAAACCAGACTGTACATGTAGAGGGCAACACCTAAGTGCACACTATTTCACTGTACCAGTAGTTTAATCATCATTCTACCTAGCAGTTGTTTCACAATGGCTACATCGAGTTCCTTCAAATATGGATGCCCAAGATTTAAGGTTGTCACGTCTAAATGTTGAAGAAGACATCAACAGTTCGTATTGGGTAGTTATTCTCATACCTGCGAAAGTGGTTGTTAGCCTGACCTCCAAACGAAACCCATACACGTTTGTCGTACCTTTGATGATGATGTCTAATGTGTCTCCATCCAGTTTGTGACAGCTCACACTTAAGTTTGGATAAACGCATGTACATATGTTGTATTCGAACTGCCATTGGACACGGATGACGCCAATCTATGTATATGTGTATGCCGAATGAATTCGACGAGGATACTCATACCCCTTTTGTACGGCTAACTTAGTGCAGTAAAACGACATTCGAGCAAACCGAAAATAACATTACCAGAACATGAAGAAGGTGAGTTTATGACAAACTCATGTTGAGTTCAGGTGTTACGAATCCAAGACAACTTTGATCGATGAGAATTCCGTGGACTGCTCAAAAGGGCGGTTTCTCAGGTGCCGGAGAAGGCACTATTTCATGCGGAATAGAAGCACCATGAGTATGTTCCCATTCAATTTACTAATCCAGGCCAATAAGGCGGCGTATATGGTACGTTTGCCTGCGTGATAAGTAATCTTGCATTTCAGAAGTAGATGTTGCTTGAGCTCCCCGGTGTTGATGCGCCTGGTGTGAATGTTGACAAGGTGCCTACCTGTCTATTACCCACTACCTCTTCCATACTGGTTCCAGGAGACAGTTGGTCGTTGCTAGTGAGGACGAGGTGCACCGTCCTCCTGACGGTGGTAGGCTTAAAAAGTGGTTCCATCCTGTGTGGAACGGGCTACGGTCCAGCCAGCGCCTCGTGTACGTTTGGTGTGTATGATTTCCCAACTAGGCCGGAATGCTTCCGTTCTGCTTGTTGAAGGAGTGTGGGCCGGCTCCGTTGATGAAACGTGGATCCCATCCACATGCCTGCCGGTCTTATTCCTTCGGATTTACACTGGATATGTGGTGTGTGGATGGAGCTGTGGGTGGTGCAGCGCAAGCTATCCATTCAAACTCAGTGACAAAAGTGGCTGCGGAATACGTGCGAAGAGTCCATCTACCGTTCTGCTACCATTCAGTTACCACATGGTTTTTTTTATCAAGGGTCGCTAGCCATAATATACTCACTGTCGGTCGATCAAGCAACAGCAAACAATACCAGATTGGTCGAATATCTGAGCGACATTGAGGTGGTCCCGATCAGCTAACGTTAACATCAAATGAATATATTCATGAACACTTACTTGCGACGTGTTCGTAGACGTTTGCGCACAGCTAACACAGAATACACGCCTTGACCGTTCAGTCCTCGGGACAAAGAGACGAGCGGTACCCGGTCTTACGGAATTGCGCCAGAATACGGGCGAGTCCCAAGTCCTCTCCACACACCTGGTCTTACGTAGTAGACTATAATGCGTCGCGCTGTGAATTTTCGCACCCGAAACGGAGTATACTGTGATCACCGGCGAGTCCGGGCTGGCTGTTGAGCTGCTACAAGTGAGCAGCTGTCCGGGACGAAGCGTCAGTTTACCGTCGAGAGGGGAAGGGTAAAACTGTAGTGTGTCACCGCCTTGCTCAACACAAATGTGTATGGCTTGAGATCGACGAGACAATCGAGCTTGCCGCAAAGTAAACTCATACTCTAGCCAATCCCAATAGACAGGACGCCCCGAAGACGGAGGCGCCAACTCTAGATGAGATGTGCACGTCACATATGCATCACGCATCGACGCGTCAACTGTCATCTTCCAGGTTCTCGCCGTCTGGTTCGAGAACAAATCCAATGGCTCGATTTCATCAGAGTCATTACTGACTTGGATTACTCGATATGACTTCGTGTCCCTCAGCAAGTATAGATAAGCCCTCAGCCTGGTTTTTATGCTTCGATAGCCATGAGTCATCATGTCCACATGTTCACAGAACATCTGTCTCTTGAGATCCGTGCAACGAATCAATATTTCGTCGCCGGCTCTCAAACATTTGCTCTTGGATTCTTTACTGCCGTTCCCCAAATGGTCAATGGTAATATTCGGTTGAATGATGCTTGGTATAATACACAATGGCTTGGGGCTTGTCTTTGACACATTCAACAACCCACCTTCTCTTCGGAGAGGCTGCAACGTTGCAGTACATCCATAAAATCCATAGTCATCCTGCGTCTCAACCTTCATGTCTAATGTATGGGCTGTGGACCACTTATGCTCAGGGTATAGGAACAGTCTTTTGGACATTTGCCCACGCGGAGATAACGTCCTAACCCGCCTTTCGATTAGAGAGAATTGCACTAGTTCCTCCACATCCGACGACTGAATATTGTGCAGATACGGCTGTCGCGTCCAGGTGATTTGCACTGGTCGATACGTTGTAAACCATTCCCCCGTGAGATCAGGGCATCTTGCAGATATGGATGCAGGCAACACGACAAGACAGGTATCCAGGATCACGTCAAGCTCCTGCTTTTCAAGGCGCCATGGAACCAGTGAATTTCTCAGATGCTCCTTGACCAACCTGCTGCGTGTGGTATACCATGTTTGGGGTTGCACATTCTTCCCAGGGTCCCAGGCGAACTCCATATCATTTACACCTGTGAGAATCTCTGGCTTCATGACCGCAGTCCGCAATGCATTTTGATCATTACTTGCGTCAATTCGCATTCTTCCACACCGTCGCTCCGGATATGATGGTGCTGTTTCTTGAATCCAGCTGCGTTGTTCTAACGGCACCCAGTGGAAAATGTGACTTTGTCCGTCAAAATTCCAGTGAGATTTGCCCCATAGTGTACACTCCTGGTGAACGCAGCAATCCGCTGGAAGATACTTCATGCCAAATACACCACGATCCCGTTGCAACCGATATCTTTGAGGTTGTTGCCCTCGCGTCGATATCACGGGATAGAGATCTGCCTCTCGGATTGTCCAACTTGCTTTCCGATTTTCCTCAAGTTTACTCGATCTCACATTCACGTCTATCCACAGCATAGGAGTGCTTTCAGGCGGCTCCTCAGAAACACTAATTCCATCAAGTCCCATCTCATTCACACTTCTCAAAGTCCCCATGGGTACAACTACTCCTTTGGATCTCACTACCGGCTCTCTAATATGGAATTCGGATTCCTTCATCTGCGTTTCCATTGGATAACCGACTAAATCAACTGAGGACCATATTCGTTTTCTCGACTGACTGACTGATACCTCACCTCCGCTACTTTGGTTTTCTGGGCTGCGTTCAGTTACATTTCGAATTACTCGCCATCCTTCTGGTCTCGTCTCCATCATTCGCGCAGTAGCAAACACACCTCTCGGAATATCGTCGCGCATCGACTGCAACCAGTTCAATGGCAATAATTCATCATCTGATATACCACCTCGTCGATGTGAAAAGTGTCGTGTTTTTGGTGCTCTAAGTCTCTCCACCACACTGTAGAGACCTTTAATCGATGAGGAGACGGATGTGCGACCTTCATCTTTCCCCCAAGGAACAGCATCAACAGCTTGACTTCCCATTCTATCTTTCTGAGCAGCTGCAACTTGTGAGATTGCCTCTGAATATACTCCATCTAACTTATCAGTCTGTACGGGCTGCCCAAGCTTTGACAATGGTCTTCTTTGATAAATTGAAGTAGTTACGAAACCAGTGGACACAAGTCGATCTGCGGTGGTCATGTGCCCATGCCATGAGAATGTCTGTTTGAGACCATCTTCGGTTTGCGAGGACGAATGAGCGCGCAATTCGTCGGGAATTGGGAAATCATCAGTCGATTCAACAGTGCTATCGACAGTGGAGAGCTGCACCCATGCCTGAGGCTCAGGTGCCTTGGATGGTACATTAGTTCCTCCGTCGGTTTTCAAGTCTTGATAGTGACTCTCCGACCAGTGTTCGACTAACGAATGGGGATAGTCGGGGCGCCTATTAGACACAGTAGTGTCACTCGTTGAAGTGATACCCGTGATGTCGCTCCGATCCCACTCGAGACCTTGCGTCACGCTCCCAATCTCCTGATCTCGCGCAATGTTCACGTAGAGTGTGACCAGAATTGAATTCCTCATCGTCCCATGTGGACACTCGCAAGTGGCGATGCAGCGAAATAAGTAATTGCCACTTCGAAGCAGTCGCTTGAGAATCAGTTTGTTGCTTGAACTGCTCAGCAAGTGTGCTTGATCGTATGACTCAGGTACGAGTTGCGGAATCGGACCGGCAACCCATGTCCACCTAGCTCGAACGTGTTCGCAGCCCCCACGAACTTCACAGCTGATCTCATCGTCCACTCCGTACTCTTTCTTATCACTGGGGCTCCATTCCAGATTAGGTGTAGTGCACGCCGCCTTCACCGGATGGATTGTCCTGTTCATTGCTATCGTGCGATCTGAAAAATGGCAGACAAAGTCATTCGCGAAATTGCCACTTGTCACATTCACATACACACTTATCTCACCCAAAATGACTCCGTGTGGATGGGTGGCCTGTAAGTACACACTGTGCAATTTCTCGTTCTGACTGGCGCTTGATATTCGGAAATGCGTCACTAGTCGTCCGGCAGGATTCGTTGACCAAATGGAGCATCTGAACTGCGCCACTTGTCCCAACAGCACAGTTGGACACACCGATGACCACACCTTCTGTACGTCCTGCACTCGCACTCCGAAAGCGAAGTGTTTCTGCATGCCATGGATCAAATGCGTTCTAGGGTTGGTTCGCAGAATCGTGTTGTTCACCGTCATCCCCGTGCAATAGTATTCCCCGTGGTCGAACTCCTGCAACACAAATGGAATTTTGGTGAATTGTGCAATCTGGGACTGACATGAGCGCGCCTCCTTCCTACTGCTTAGAAGGTTGGGGTGAATTGGACGTGATATCACAGTGTGAAAAACGCACTTGTCGAGCATTGGGTAATGGCTCAAGTATGTGGGCTTTCGCGAGAGAGACAAAGAAATACCCCAATTTTAATGCGTGGCCTTTAGTCTGCACTAAATCCTTTAGCTCTCCCTCTAATGCAATTGACTGTGTGCTGAGACCCTACTTATAAATGCACCGCGATCTTATCTACGGATGGTACAGACTAGACCGACCCTCGATCGCGGTTGGAATACAAACTAATATCGAGGAACGAGATATTGGCGAAGATGATGGTAGCACTCGCTCAATAACCCATGGGTCTAAAGGGGAATAGAATAATAAGAATTCGGTTCAGACATAATACTGAAGCGGATACAGGCGCTACAAGCTGCATTATGCACTGTACCAGTTGGATGTCTGACGAATATCGGCCACATAGGTGAAACGTGACGAATGAAATGGAACTACACCGGACCACACCATCAATTAAGTATTTACACATTACTGCAGTTATACACCTGTCCAAATTGAGGTAAATTCATAGTGTACAACAGCAGTAATAGTGAAGACTCGGTGCAATTTGCCTTGGTTGGTAATCCTGTGATAAAATCACAATGTGAGGAAACAGTGCTTCTAAAGATTGCACCTACCGAAATCGGATGGACAAAGATGATGGTGCTGTCTTCATCCATTATGATGGACACGCCGGAATTCCTCGTAAGCCTCGATGAAGGATGCAACAGCTGAATAGTCCACTGAGTTTCAGGTCGGACTACTGAACTGTACTTTATCGGAGGCCTCAGAGGGAACATGGCCACACTCAGGTCATAATGCAGCCAGGTGTAGCGAATCAGACGATGCAAAGTGATGTGCGCCAATTCCAGATGTGTCGCCATCGAACAGTCGTGATCCATCGCGTCACCAGCTAGTAGTATTTCAGGATGTTGAACAACCGGATCGTCCCCAATCATTCCAACACTCGTGTGTAGATCCTTGTGTAGGGAGTGAAAGACGCATCGCAGCATTGCTTCCCCACGTCTTAGCCTGACATGAGTGGGCGATCGGGGCTTAAAGACAAGGCGGAAGTAGTAATTCAAGTAGGGTTTCGTCCTTCCCGAAGCCAGCTGCGGATCCTTTAGGCTCGGTGGTGTTCGATCTTCTTCCGTCGTGCGTAACCTCAGTTGCTTCGCCAGAGTTGGTGGTGAGGCTTGCAAAACTTTGATCAAACCGGAATTAATTGACGGGAATGAGTAGGTTTCACAAAACCAGTATTCTCGCTTCGGGTCGAAGTAGAAGTTGGTAATTTGTGGAGGGAGTTCGAAGCGAACAATAATGGAATCACTTGTGAGATCAGGAGTCGATTTTGTCTGATCTCCTCTAGTTGGTTGCAAGATTATCGGCTCACAGAAACTGAGTGCCATAAAATCCACATGTCGGAGCTGTTTGATGGTTAGTCGTATGCTTCGGAACACTTCGAGGCTCGTAGGATTCCACTTCACTCCACATGATGTCTCGTAGTATAAGCTGAACCAGTTCTCTTCTCCTCTGATGCGTTGCGAACATGTCTGATCTTCAGTAGTGACTGAAGTGCACACGTGCTCCGATTCTATCCAAATCGATTGGTTTGCTGTAGTCGTGGACACGTCCCCATGTCTGTGCACCGCGCCATCTACAGCACATACCACCAGCGAGAAATTCGCAGTCAGATAATACATCTTGAGTGGGAGTCTGTGCGTCGTGACTGCTCCCTCACATCTCATATCCAACTGTGAGCCTTGTGGGAGTAGTCGATCGCCAGTGGATGGTTCGGTCCAGACCTTCGGTGCACTGGGGCAATTGTCGGGCAGACGTAACCTCGTTACTGGCTGACTTATCCCCACCAAATCTGATTGTACCGGCATGCGGGATAGGACGCGCTGCTTGTGGCTCTCAGTCGACATCGGCTGTATCAAGCAGAAGAGCTTTCCCGGTCCCAAAGGCGGCCATAATTCATGCCAACCGATATGCACAATTGTCATCTCACCGAGTGGATTGAAGGCGACTTTCCTGCGTGCCACGATATAAAATCGCCCATTCGCATCCACAGCGAGGAGCATCAGGACCTCCGACCTTGGTGCGAAACCGCTCAAATGACAATCCAATACTGCTGCACCAGTTTCGAATGTTGGCCACTTGACAGTTAGACTGGGAGTACGCCAGTTTGGCTCCAAAACAGTCAGTGTTGCAGTGCTGTAGTTGACGATATCAGTGAGCTGTAGAATTGGGATCACAAATAGCATAGTTATGCGGTTGCAAATGACCTGCATAGCAATGGTGGTCGTATGGGTAGTTTAAATGAGATAAAAGTGTTTAAAGTGTATTAGCACAGTTCGGTTGTTTTACAACACAATATTCCGTTTTCTACGTCGCTAGCTTGTGCGCCCATGTGGGTTTCATATGTGTGGTAGCGTGAGCATTTCGGTCAAGCTACCTAGCTGATGTGATCCGTGGCGCGTGCATGGCATAATTTTGTACACCGATCTAACTTCAAATTTTATGCCAACTTTTCGGGAAGATGCTCAGTCGATTCGATCGCACGGTTCTATCCAACACGCTAGTAGTACGCCACAAACGACTTCTTCGGCACTTCCTTCGCTTAAGTCCAGTCGTGCAACCTTACGTTTGTATTTCCCTCTGTGACCTTTAGATAATGTTCGACAGATACATTCTGAGGCAATATATGAGTCAGTGCTATACACCACTGTACATGTAGTTACAGGCTATTTTGTCCTCTCACATTTTACACTGCATTCTTTCATGCGTCTTACGCCACAAAGCCTGTGTGCTTTCATTCCCCTGTGCACCGAGTGACGCATCACTAACAAACCAGCTGGCACAGCAGTTTCCGCTGACCGAAGTTGACGACCGACGAGACATGGTTCGGTGAAGTTTGTCAGTGGGACCTCTAGTGTAGAACAAACCTAGTGTCAGGCACCGCTCAGACAAGTTAGCGACAGAATTATGTGCTCTCTGTGTGTCAATTTCTATGACAGAATACAGGTGAAGTTGCAACTCAACGAATAGCACAGTATGCGAACAAATCGTTTGTGGTTCGGTGACCTATGTTCAGATAGTTAGAATTATGCAAACCGTTACGCAGAAGTGTGAAAAGTTGGGTGTTGCGTCAGCAAAGCCAAAAGAACTGGGCGCGGTCTTCTGAGGGAAAATTGCCTAATTCGAGCCACAAAAGTGACAGATCATTTAGCACCAATCCCTGACCTATCGAAAGATTAAACTAATCTTGCAAAAGCGCTACACGCTTGGTGACGAACAACAGTGACGGCAGGCCAGTTTGACGATCAGCAAAATCTTATGAAGTGTCGCAATGCATGAAGAGGTATAGACAAATTACCCGGTCACAACTACAGTGTCCGATGTTGGCTGGGTAACAACAATCAACCCCTACAGGGAGTGCGACTTACGGCGTTGCACACGAGCAGTAGTGGTTCACTTACAAAAATAAGACAAGACAAACACATTTACACGGAAAATCTCCGCCCACAAAGGAACGTAAAGTGAAGCGATGACGGTGATTTTGTAACCGAACGGCACGACAATAAAGCACAACCTATATTGAAGCGACAACGGTCAATCAACCGATTCACGCAGATAAAATGGTGTGGGTCATCTTTCCTTCCCACGATGCAGCACATTTGCTGGAATCCGCAAGTAGAGAACTTCATGTAATGCTTCCTCACAAGTCGACACTGCGCAGTTTAACCATATCTTCATGGTTCGATCAAACCGCTCGGTCATTTCGTTGGTTTGCATGCTGTTGTTCGTCTCCAAATATCCTACTTTTTCCATAAAGCCTGAAACGCCTGTAAATTCAAACAGGGCCCTTGGTCCGTAATAATATATTGTGGTATCCATATCTTACTGACACAATGAATGCCGAATGCCGAAACCTGGACTGTATACGTGACACATCGTAACTTCTGTGTGAGACTGATCCGCGAAGACAAGGTCATTCATCAGCAGAAGTTAATGAAACGATTCTGCACTAACCGCAAACTCCTGTACAGGCACGTTAACGGCCTTCGAAAGGTAAAGCGAGGGGTTCCAGCGCTAGTCACGGCTGATGGGTGCACGCGATCAGCAATGGAAGCAACTGATCTCCTACGGCTTCATTAATCCAAAACTTTCCAGCAGGTAACGAGTACAAACATTCGCCTCATTTCTAATACTCCACCACCTGGTTTAGAAAACACCACCTTCACTACGGAAGCTGTGTTGAAGAAGTAGTTATCCTTCTGTACCCACAGGTCTCCCGGAGCTGATAACATTCGACCAAAGGCTCTACATGCGGCAGCTAGTGATCTAGCAGAAGCACTGGCTGTTTTCTATCAGCGATGTCTAAAGCAGAACCGTATTCCACCAGTATGGAAGCGAGGGTCATCACTCCTATCCATAAAGGAGGTAGCCGCACTGATCCTGCCAACTACCGTCCAATAACACTACTTCCCGTACTATCCAAACTGATGGAATCAATCATCGCAGTCGCGCTGATGCAATACCTGGAAAGCCACAATTTAATAGCCCCATAGCAACATGGCTTTCGACAAAAGCATTCGTGGAATACTAACCTATTAATTGCGCGTAATAGCTGGACTGAAGCTGTTGATGATGCAGTGTGAGTCAATGTCATCTACTTGGACTTTACAAAAGCGTTTGATCGCTTAGACCATCGCATTCTCCTTCAGAAGCTTCGGAATTACGGCATTGGCGACCCAATCCTGAGTTGGATTGGTAATTTTCTACAAGAACGACGGCTAGTGGTGAGAGTCCGAGAATCATTTTCACATGCAATCGATGTGGCATGTGGAGTACCACAAGGCTCGGTTCTTGGACCTCGTCTATTCTTAGTGTTCATTAACGATTTGGCGAGATCAATTAATTCCGATTTCCTATTGTTCGTTGATGATATCAAAATATGACGAAGGATCAGTGGACCGGACGACCATGAACGGCTCCAGTGCGACCTTAACACGCTGCCGTTCAACGTAGACAAATGTCGCGTTGTGCAATTGCGCCATAGACATAACTACACCTATTTACTTGGGACAAACCGGGTGCAGAATAGCTCCCAGGAACTTGACCTTGGTGTGATCGTACAGAGCGACCTCAACTGTTCAAAACAGGCTGAGGTAGCTGCGAAAAAGGTAACCAGCACGTCGGCATGCTGCGAAGGGCATTCGGGAGATTTGACTCATCAATCTTCCCAATGACGCATAATTCCTACGTGCGCACGCATGTTGAATACGCTATCCAAGCTTGGCAACCTTGGTTGAAGCACGACCTAGAAACGATAGAGGCACTACAACTAAGTGCAACAAAGGACGTAAATGGCCTGCGCTATCACTCTTACCACCGAAGACTGAAGTTGCTGGGAATTTTCAGCGGGCGTTATCGAAGGCTGCGCGGCGATCTCATATTAACCCGAAAATTTTACCCAAGGAATTGATAAAACACAAGGTAGCGAAGAGCACTCTCTTCGATAAATCTCATCAGGCGTTTGCAATTATAAAATAGAAAGTTGAAGTGGGATAGGCAGATGAAGCGTGGCAAAGATTGGCGAATCAAAGCGAGCAGAAAGTCAGCTGTCCTAATCGATAAATTGGTCGATCCACTCAAGCATGAGTTACCACAATGTACGTAGGCAGGCATACATACATGGTTGGCGGCATCCGGTTTCGGATTTGCCTGTCACTGTGGCATGCCACAGGACGCCTGCGCCTACAGAGAGACCATGGATGGCTTGAGCTGCACAACCCACAGCTCCATCCACACACCCCATATCCAGTGTAAACCCGAAGGAATAAGACCGGGAGGCATGCGGATGGGAGCCAGGTTTCATCCACGGAGCCGGCCCACACTCCTTCACAGGCAAACACAAGCACGCTGTATTTGGGGAATCAACCACACACAAGGAGGTGGCTGGACCGTAGTCCCTTTAGCACTGAGTGCATGGAACCACTCTTTGATCTTAACACGGTCAGCGGGACCGTGCACTCCGTCCCCTCCATCAACGACCAACTGTCTCCTGGAGCCAGTATAGATGAGGTAGTGGGTAATAGACAGGTAGGCACCTTGTCAACATGCACATCAAGCGCAGCCACACCTGAGATGTCAAACAACAGCCAATCATTCGAAATGCCGATATCAAAGAGAGTAAACGCATATGCCGACATAAATACTCGCTAAATGAGCATATGGAAAAAAATTGGTTAAATGTGAATATACGCGATAAGTACAAAATGTCCGAAAGTCATTTAAAAAATACCACGCAATAACATTATGCAAGTTTACCCCAATTTGCATGAGCGACGTGTGTAAGTTGGGAGAAGATTATCAAGTAGGCAGAACAAAAATAGAATAAAATGTAATAGATTTTATGCACATTAAAAAGGCCTAGTTTAAGTTGGTTTAGCCCAACTGCGGTGAAGAAGCATCATGAATGCGACATCAGCCTCAGCATGGGGCAAACATACACATGCACCTACATACATAGATACAGGTTTCCAGGATGTACTGGTTAAGTTCCAACATTTCTGTACAACTACTGGTGTTACGCGTTTGTATTACTATAATCTTGCCTTTGAAGGCGTATCTCGCACCGTCGAGAATAAATCATTTATTTATTTAATAGTCCCGGGTTCGAGGCCTCCACATGAAGGTCGAAATGCAGTGTTTTCGGGTAGGCAACACCCATTTTCCATCAGCTCAGCAAAGGGGGCCACAGTAACTAGGCATAGGTCGAGGAGACCATTTTCAAAGGTCATCTGTTCGTCCATCAGCAAGGACACGGACTACTCAAACGACCGATGACGACAATTTGTACAGACGCATGCGCGGAAATACCCGATTCCCACCTATTTACGCATAACGCCGTTCCACTACATCTCAACACACTGATAATGTCACCACAAATTGTAGCGAAATGTTTGGAGCAAAAGTGTTAAGCTCAGCGAACAATTCGTTTAACGAGAGTATGGTCTGTTTGCCATGTATGAGGGAAACGCAGATACCTCCGGTGAGTCTAATACTCTTCCAGGCTAACGAAATCACGAATGCAGTGCTGTGCCACCAAGCGGTTAACAAATTCTGCATGGTTTTAGCGGAGAAAGCTACACAGATCGCATGCTGGTTAACCAGCCGCCTCACGAATCTTAATTCTATCGGATTCCTTTGGTAATTGGAGAGCGCGATTTCT